AGTCGACAGACATAAAGAGACTAGTCACGTTTGACCATCGCTGCCTTCGCAGCTTAGCTCATGTCTGGTGGGAGCACCGTGTAAGCAATAAGCGTGTTCGGCGCCGCGTATATGTTACACGAAGAGCTAACCAGTATGTCACACACCAGGCTCCGACGACTAGGCCACATGTTGCGCATGCCAGCACACCGATTCCCGCGACGTGCATTGTTTGCGCGCCGGGAGTGCGTTGGATGAGGATGAGGGGAGGCCAAGCGATGACTTGATCAGGAGAAATGAAAACTCTCACTTTGAAGTCGGCGTCGGTTGTTGTATCCCGACTGCCTGGTTGGGGTCCCAAGGACGATGAACACATTTGTTTGGACACACTTGTTGATATGGCGAAGGACCGGCCCGTGGTGTTTGTGTTGTTTCTTTGTCCATCTTCTCCCTTTTAGATTCCTCCGCCAATTCCAAACTCCTAAGAATTGGATAATATAATATTTAAAAGTATATTACCTGCTTTTGAATTTTTGTAGTGTAACTTTTTCATATTTTACCTTTTTGTATTGCGGCACATTAGCTGAGGTGTGTTTCTCACCTTCAACTAACGATAATGATGATGCCGCATTGCGAACGGGAGCTGCCGTTGAAAATAGGGACTACAACGGAGCGGCTCCAGTCTGTTGGGAGAGTCTCCTGCTCCCATACATTAATTAGTAAGTTATGTAAGTGGTCCAAAAGAACAGGGTCCCCGGATAGGAAGAGGGCTGGATGAAGTCCATCGGCTCCGGTGACCTTGTTCAATTTCAGCCATCTGATCTCACGTTCGACTTCTGCGCGTGAAGGTGCATCCAAGGAGTATGCGATGGTTGGCAACTTTGAATGATTGAATTGCATCTCAATATGTTCGGTCCAACGCTCCAAGCGCTTTGACAATCTGTGGATCGGCTGCCCACTCTCGCCACGGATTGTCCCGTTAAAACCAGGTTTCCTGCTGCCTGTTTCAGACGGAATAACTTACGATCATTACCAACGGCAGCTGTTTTTATTTCCGATACACGATAAGACCACCAGGCTTCGCAGTCTCACTTCAAGCTAGTCCGCAGTTTCGCCCTGAGAAATTTTCGAGTCTATTTGTATTCGTTTCTAGTCGGAATATGTCGGCGATCATCCATATGTTCAAGAGACTGGGTAGAGACACAAAGTCCAGTCTGGTTATTTGATTTGGCACATGAAGACATGCCTGCAGCTAGTAACGTCTGGCGGATTTGCGACCTGTGATCTTCAACCAGGTACAGTGAGCGCTTACTCAGCTAGAATGCTAGTGTGCTTTGATACGCATTCAGATCAGACTTCGCCAGTTGGCAAATATCTATGCATTCACAGCGGCGTTGCGGACGTCCGCCGAAGCGGACCCGAAGGTCGGCGCAAACATGTGCGTGGTCAGAGTCCACGTTCGTATCGTGTGAAATAATCGAACATGTTCCTTTCTCCCTGCGGCACAGTAGGGAGTGTGTTACTTACCTTCAACAACTATGACACGATGATTATGACGCGGCAACTCTTATTCGCTAATCTCCATGGCTTTTGCTGGCTTTGCCTATTTATTGGACTGCTGATACTACTACTACTACCACCCCTACTACTAGTCCAAATCGAGCGACAGTTCTGAACACAGCCTTTCCAGCGGTAACTGATGCGATGTGATCGCTTTGCTTCCACGGTTGGTCCGAGGCTAGTTGGCGCAATGTCACTCACTCTTCTGCGGGTACTGTGTCGGAAGTTAGTGCTCGCGATAAACAGAGGAGGATCTTCACATAGGTGTAGCAACCGCTCACCGCTATCATAACGTGAGCCTACACCGTGTTGGTCGACCAGATGAAGCTTATCAATAGAGAATTTTCCAACTAGGGCGTTCGAATCAACAGCAAGCACCATGGTATCCGTACTAGTTTGTGACAGAGAAGCGCATCCAGTTGGTGATAGAATTCATCCTTCACCGAGTCAGCGCTAAAATTGGTAAGCGTGTAGGCCGCGATGACAAACAAGCACCGTTTGTCCCCACGTAACTTTGAGACTCTAAATGAGCCAGCCAATCTGACAGCGCACATCCGCCTGTTTATTGGGATCAAATCGATTAGGGCAGATACGAAATGAAATGAAATGTCAGCTTATACGCCGTAACGACGCTTCGCTGCCGCGCGACCACCACTGGTCGCGCGCGGGCTGAGTATACCGCGAGGACGCCCACCCCTACGCGGAGTCGAACCGGTAACCTTATGGTTGGAAAGCAAACGTGCCGACCACTCGGCCACCGGCCGACGGGCAGATACAGCCCGGGGTTAACAGTAATGCCCACACCGGCTTGACCCGCACTTGTAGCTGCGTCATCTCCGTATAATCGAGATGAGAAAGTACCGCCAGTGTCGCACGTTTGGGATCGCAGGCTAATTACAGAACTCGAATCCTGTAGGCGAGTTTCTGATAATTAGCAGATATCGACTGATAGGGTCTCCAGTATTCGGGCAAGTGCCGCCTGTTGGCCACTCTACAAAAATGTCCGCACGTTGAAGCATGCCAGTCTTAGGGAGGATCGATGGCTCCAAAGAGAAACGGATGAACTGACGTTGCCCGCTTGGTTGAACATGGACTTGTCGACTGGACCGGATCGACGCCGTGCGATTGCGTGTGAGTCGAAACTAGAAGATAAATGATTACCGAACAAAGATGGAGGAGGGCCAATAATTGGGGAATGAAAACAGAGGGATAAAAGTAGATTTGGAGCGGGACAACAAGGACGCAAAAGCGCAAGAGGGGGATAGAAAGACAGGGAGGCTTGAGCGGTAGCATCCAAACTCCTATCCAACCTGCTCGATGCAGTGACGGCCAGAGCATCATGACCTTCGGAGGCTAGCCATTGTCATCTGTTAAGGTAGTAACCTGCGTGGCAGTGGAAGATAGGTCGTGCTATATCCCAGTTAACTTGCAAATTATGTAGCCCAGCCGACATCACCCACGGCTCAGTGGCTTAAGCTGCTGGCTAGTTGGCATATGCCTCTAGCAGCCATGGATTCGATCCCCAGTTTGGGGACTGAGGGAATGCGCACCATTGACGAGTCCCAATAGGGGGAAACTCGACTGGTACCTTTCAGGACTAGGCAGCTATATAACTTGCGAGCTACTGGGACGAAAACATTAAAATCGAAATCCTCCTACTCATTAGTAACATAAGAAAATGTTTGAAGAAGGGTTCATTGTATTGCGTAGGCAGAATACTGTCAGGTTGCCCGGCTTAGACAGGAGAATGATTGCGGTTCTCAACCAAAGCCTTCGGATTAAAAACTTGACCATAAGACAACGGGTTTGGCACTGGGCTACCGAGAGCCCATTTTATGAAGCAAGGAGCCACCCTCACTTTAACCCCCAACCTGGACGGTCAGGAGACTGAGTTGGTCTGGCATCTAACCATTGACAAACCTAGTATGAGTGGTTCTGAAGGTGCAAAGGCACCACCCAGCATAGTCCAATGGATCGCTGAAGCACGCAAACCATCGCACAACGTTAAGGCGCAGTTTCGCCGCGCTGGTGTCCAAGACTGGCCATCAATTTGCGGCATGTGTCTGAATTCCGACCATGCTCTAGTGCGCGCACGCCTGGTGCTCACTCTTTCCGTATCAAGGAAGCGTCTAACTTCTAAGCTTATCATATGTATATTAAACTCGCAATTCAATTACATAGTCATTAATTGGCCCAACGATTACCAGCGATGAATCAGGTTGCTGAGCCGAACATTGACTGGAATCGTCGCAAGAGTGTTAAGAGGAGTGCTTCTGGCGCCTAATGTGCACACAACCTAAATGGTCCGAACCGTGTTTGGATCTCAAAGGCATCAATTAGTCTGATCGAAGCGCGCAAACAGCTTTCGTTGGGTACCGCGTTTCTCTGTGTCATAAACACCTTGAAACGACAACTGGTGAAGGAGTTTACAAATAGACCAGGGATGTTGGTGGGTGGCAAGCGCCCATGCGATGGAGAAAGGTGCTATTAAGAACAACCGAGCGCCATCCCAGCTCATCCGGAACACGGATCCGTGAAAACCATCAGATAGTGGGACAATAGCTGAGAAAAATGGAGAGTTGATCCAGGTTCCGCGGTGTCGACTAGCCCGTTCAGCAAGCTTGCCGCGACACAGCCGCTTGTTGAATCAACTAAGCCGACATACAGCAGATTTTGCACTTCCCACTGAACGGGTGCCTTCCGAATGGCGACCATCAACTGTCGCGCTCTTCTTCAAAAAGGGTAAGCATACTGTGTGCCTTATTTTCATTGCTTCAGAGCCTCTCACTGGAATCATTGTCCGACGACTTACTGGTCACCGTGAGAGCTAATTGCTGAAAGCCAGCTGGCTTTCGCCATGGTCGTGGTTACATTGACCACGTAACTACAGACAAACGTACAGAAGATCGACTATAGTGGTTTTCCTTGACTTGAAAGCAGCCTTCGAGTAACTTGACCGCGCCAGCTTGTAGCCCTGCCTATCCATGAATAGCTTGCCTGCTAAATTCTTTTCCATTATGCAGTCTCTACCGCTACTCCTGAGGCAGAGTAAGGGTCTAGGGGAACTGTCTCCTGAGTTCCTCACCACAAGTGGGGTTCGCCAGCGTTGTCCTATGTCTCCTTTGCTTTGTCAGGTGACCGACTGACAAACCTGGAGTATACGGACCACATAACTCTGCTTGGGTTTGACGCAGTGGCTATGCTAACACTATTGAACAGACTGAGGCGCAGAGCTACGCGCTTCGGCAAGTGCTTTGCACCTTCAAATCGAAAGACAATGTTGCGTGACTAAACCGACATGCCACCGGTTTCAGCTATTAGCAACAAAGTGGTGAATTGGTTCACCTACCTTGGTAACTGTGCCACCTCTGGTGGTCCCACTGCTGATGAAGTTCCTTCGTGTATCAGAAAGGCCGCTGTGTCATCTCATAAGCATAACCATAAATATGGGCTGCGGGATATTAGTCTGTCAGTGAAAAGTAGGATGTATAACGCTGTGGTTAGACCAGTGTTACTGTATGGATCAGAGACATGGCCAGCTTGCGGCGAAGGCATTAAACGTTTGGCCGGAAAACTTCCAACAATAAATGCTATTGACACTTGTAAAATAAGTGCAAACGCAATAACTGCAGCAGGTGACTTATCAGTTAAAACCGAACACTGTTTGGCTGATAAGTAAAAGCGACCCTTAGAACGATGTACCAAACACTTCTTATACCAGCGGTGCTGCGTGCAATCTAGTAACTGTAAGCCGAAACAGTACCGTAGACTCAAATCAATCATAGTTCATTCCGTCACAGACGGCACACATCAGCATCATCAACAGCAGGACATCAGTCATTTGAACTGATGCTTCGCTGCCATAGTGACATACAAGACGAAACATAATAAAAAGAAGAGAAAGGGGGTCTAGCATAAAACCTTAATGCCCTAAACAAACATTCAGGGTCAAAGCGCCTACACATTGTGTAAACAACAAACCATCACAAACAGCTGGCTATGGTGCAAAAATAAGGCGGCATCAGCGAGACAGCTTTCTTGCGGCTTTCACTACCACGCGTCATAATCAGCCAGTACCCCGCAGATAACTCAGCAATAAACACACTTTAAACAGGCAATCCGATTAGGAGACGGCAGCAGACACATCACTGGTGCCGATTGCGAGCGATGTCCGGTAAAGTTTCAAACCAAACACAAGGTGGGTCACGTGGACTCCAGCTTGGAAGGCGAGACGGATCAACAGTACCCAGTTTGGTCATCACTAACCGCATTTCCTGCTGCCAAGTTAAATTTTATCCACCACGAGTCTTGCGCCACCCTACATCTGGCAAACCAAACAAGGCTTTCCTCGGTAAACGGTGACCAAGCATACGTAGCACGTGCTCACGCCAGCGCAATTTATTCAGTGTTATCTGTTGTTCTAAGAAACTGGTCTGGCTCTCACGGCCTAGCATTCGCCTACACATATCATTGTTGCGGACAGGCTGGTGTTATCCGAAACCAACAATGCCTCTAGACAACGATGATCAAAGACTTAAAGGGGCAGCATGTCCTCAGATCAGAGGGACTGTCTCAATCCCATAGAGTTGGACGCCCCTTAATGACCTTGTAAACACGACCTTTTAGACCGAGAAACCTTTTCTGACGCCACAGATGTCGTAGATACAAGGTGGTTCCAGCTGCTGCAATACATGAACTGACTTCAGTGCTTAGCGTCCATCGTTGCTGATGCAGCTGCCAAGGTAAGTGAGTGGATCAACCATCTCAAGTTCCTCATTATCAAGTCAAAGAGACATCAAGAGTCCGGCGGTCCTGTAACAACACTTTGTAATGTGTATGTGTGAAGCGCATGCCAAATGATGGGGCCATTCTCGAGAGGTTATTCAAAGCTGATTGGGCCGCTTCAACATCGCTAAACTGCAACACGAAATCGTCCGCATAATCGAGATCAACTAGCTTTTCACCAAGCAGTACTTAACGCAACGGAACAATGCGTGATGGAGTCTACGTCGAAAATCAAGACGATATCGTCCGCATAATCACGATCAACTAATCTTTCACCAGGCATCACTTCAACGCCTACATCGTGAGATTCCGCAATGGAACACTCCATGATAGAATTCACGACGAAATTGAACAAAAATGGGGAAATCAGACAACCCTGACGAACGCCACTTGTTGTTACCGTAGACACTGACAGGCCCTGTGGTGTTCGAGTACAGGGGATGAAAAATGTTCACAGAGTTCATGGGAACACATTTGCGCACAAGGACACGAAAAGAATCGATCGATCAAATGAATCGGACGAGGAACAAAACTAATGTCAGTCTGCAGTGTGTGTGACGTTGCTCTAGCACTTGCCGCAAAGTGAATATGTGGTCTGTACAGTCCCGTCCAGGGTGGAAACCTGCCTGCTCTTCCCTAATCCAGGACTCCCGTTCCGCAGTGAGGCGATGAACGAGAATCGAGACCAGTACCTTTGTCATAACTGGTGTTAGGTTAAACCCCCTATAGTTAGCACAGTCAGTGCGACCGTCCCTACTGTATATTGCCATCAGAATCGATTCACCGCAGTTAGCTGGGATGGTCTCTTTCTTCTGAACGTGTTCGAACAGAGAGGTCGGTGCTTTGCAGAGGACCTCACCACTACTCTTAAATAATGCGAGTGCTAGGAAATTCGGGGCCACTGTACGGAAACGACTGAGGGCTACGATCGCGTTTCGGACGTCAGCGTCCGACGGCGCTTCTACACTAACTGGCAATGGACCAGCTAGCACCACCTAAGAGTTCCAGGAGCAAGAGGCCAAATGAACTGATCTTGAAAGTGTTATGCCCAACGAGCCATACGGCGCTCCTCATTGTGTCTCAGTTCCCCCGCACTGTCTCTGATTGTTTCACTGACGCCTGGTTACCTTGGACCAGTGGTGCGGATCAGCTGGAAGAGCTCGCAATAATTGCCTACCGCTCCTGCCTCCTCCATTCCTCGAGCCCTACTCGTCTACCAGGCTTTCTTGTCAGCACACATGCTCCGCTTTAGTTCCCGCCTAATAGTCCGTCCGTGTGGCAATGATTCGGTTTTACAAAAATGGACGCCATCGTATTTCATGGACAGTGGCCTAACGACTACTGCAGTGGATTACGCTGAGGCACTACTCCTGCAGTTTGGCTCAGTGGCTACAAACATCATTGAACCATCATCCTATAAACTCCCAACAAATGTCGTCGATTTATCCAGTGTCACCTTTACCATAGCAGCTGCCACAAGCAAATTACAGTCTATCCGAGAAAACTGCCCCAGGAATTGACAAGATCTGCCCAAAGGTACTTAAAACTCTTATCTCCACCATCACAGTACATCATGCAGTCTTTTCCAGTCTGCTTGACTCCCATACACTCGCATCTGAGTGGAAACGTGGAATAATCACTCCGACATAAACAATCGGATCTTGCCAACCACCGGCCTATTACACTCCTTCCCGTTTTATCAAACGTTACGGAATCGCAATTCAACTGACATGTTATTCTAATTTCTAATGTCCGAAATGCTTTCACAGGCAAACGATCTTGCCGCACCAATCTGCTGCTTACTCAGGACTCATGGACCAGGACGGCAGATGAAGGATTCCCCATAGAGGTGATTTTCTTAGACTTTTCTAAGGCATTCGACAGGATCAATCATTCCCTTCTTCTCTAAAAGCTTGTTGCCTACAGTATCGGCGGTCCCATGCTCATCTGGTTAGAAGACTACTTACACGATAGAACAATTAAGGTGCAAATAGCTCACAATCACACCGAAAGCCTGTGCGTTTCCAGTGGTATACCACAAGGATCAGTCCTCGGTCCGCTAGTCTTTGGTTTACATCAATGACCTCCCAGCAAACATGTTATCCCCGATGCAAATAATACAGATGACGCTAAGAGCAATTCGCTCAGCATCTGACCGTGTCTATCTTCAGGATGATATGGCTCGGATTAACGAATGGGCAGAAAGGAATCAGCTCCCACTGAACCTTGCAAAACGCAACCTGCTGTCGATGCAGGAGCAACACGTCCTGTAATACGTGAGTAATGAACGCGACTTAAGTATCCTCCTTCAAGAAAGTCACGGCAATTCGCCTCAAGGGTCAAAAGCAGCAAATGTGGCGAACATGAACTCAAGGCTTTTAAGGCGAGCTCTTGGTGACTGTGACCGATGTGTAGTACTCTTGCTGATTAACTCGTATATTCGTACCCATATTGAGTATGCAGTTAAAGCCTGACATCCATTGTTGGAATGAGCAACCATCTCTTGGGGTAGTCCAAAAGAAGAGCCATCAAGTCAACACGTGGACTAACTGTAAGAAATGCGCCTTCGTTTAATCCGTATGCTTCCTTCAGAATACTGAAGAATTCGCGTAAATCTCATACTCACAAACCGGACACTAATTGAGAGGGAACACACATGTATATCACTGCTGACCCTGGTGCTTTGCAATTAATAACTTGGCCACTATCCGGAAACTCAACAATCCCGTTTGGATTGTGGAAAATGTTTTACTCCCTTATAATATGTTTACAATGGAATGCATTGCCAACAAATGTGGTGAATGTCTCAACCAGCACGACATTGGGAAGTCTATTAGACTCATCTTAGTAATGCACATTACACAACAGCGTGATAAAGTACGATGTCTAAACTACTCATAATTCACGTTCCACGTTGGAACGTTTTTTAAAATTCCTTTGTGCCTGTCACACTATGGGTCTTGTAAAGTTATGCTTCTCATCCCATTATACAAGACACTACACTAGAACCGAGGGGACCGGGAGAGTGAGTTTGTATGACCTACAATCATTAACCAACCCGTTAGCAGTAGCTATCAAGGGGCCCGAACGCCCCACCCAGTATAGCTCAATGAGTCGACAAGGACGCAAACCGTCGCACACGTTACGGTCCAGTCTCGTTGGAACAGATCCGCACAGGGCTGTCGATCTTTCCGGGACACCATGGCTTCGAACATTCCGTCGTGTGCCAGCGCTCGAGCACATTGAAGCGCTCAATTTCGAAGTCAATTACTAGTCACTTAGACCAAGAAGTACACTCAAACCGAGGTGGAACTTCAGGTTCATGTAACATTGTTACCTAGTTCCCGGTAACTGAATTATTAATTCATTGTGTCCATCGCAACGAGACTGGACCTTAACGTAGTGTGATGGTTTGCGTACCCCGGTGACCCACTGAGCTATGCTGGGTGACACTTTCTAAGTGGCTTCAGAGCCACTCAATGGTTAGATGTCACCCTAACTCAGTCACACAATACGATCCACTTCGGGGGTTAGGGAGAGTTTTAATGAATCACGGGCAATGCTGGTCTTCAGCGAAACAAAGATTCCCATTTCATTAATATGAACCAATATCAGAAATCAGTTCAGGGTAAAGAATTCGTTTCGGTAAAGTCTCATTGGACCCAAACGTTTACGTAGCAC